CGGGAAATAAACAGTAAAGATCAACAATTCATTAAAAAAACAGCTGCTTTTACGGAAAGGAAGCGAGAATATATACGCCATTTTTCATTAATTCTGAAGAATATTATTCATGTTATTGTTCAGAGTATTAACCATTGCGCACGTAGTCCCTCTCCTGTCTCTCAGCCGCGCCCGTTCTCTATACCACATCCTATTTGTGCGCAGTAGAATTAGGTTATATTTCCCTCCCTTTTTTCTCTCTGTCTCCGTCTCTCTCTCTCTATGTGTGTGTGTGTGTGTGTGTGTGTGTGTGTGTGTGTGTGTGTGTGTGTGTGTGTGTGTGTGTGTGTGTGTGTGTGTGTGTGTGTGTGTGTGTGTGTGTGTGTGCGTGTGCGTGTGATGCATACATGTGTAGGTGTGTGTGTTAAAAGATAGGCAGTTCGTTTCCTCTCTCCGTTCGTTGATGATCCTTTTCCGTCCGTTCGCTCAGCAGTGTAATTCCCTTTGTTTAAATTTCAAGTAAATCTTTATTTGGACATTTTCTCGGGAACTTCTGGGGGATTTTAAGGAAAACTATCACACAATCACTTTTTTTCCGTCATTTTTTGCGTTTACGAATGAACTTTCGGTATGAAAATCGACTGACCTGATCACATTATCAAGGCTATAAGAGAGAGAGAGAGAGAGAGAGAGAGAGAGAGAGAGAGAGAGAGAGAGAGAGAGAGAGAGAGAGAGAGAGAGAGAGAGAGAGAGAGAGAGAGAGAGAGAGAGAGAGAGAGAGAACGAGAACGAGAACCCGGTGCTATCGGAGTGAGGTCCCGGGAATCACACGAACATTCTCATACATATGAAGTTATTTTAAAGAAATATGAGGGTGTATATTGTATATACGAATGTTCTAAACTATTAACACATATTTACATTCACTCACTCTAATTTATCAATAAAAAAAAACATTCTTTCGTAGTACAAGATCAAGACGGAAATAAGTCAGACGGAAACGGTTCAGATTCAAACGGAAACGCAGACATTGACGAAAAAAGTGCTAGTGTGATCGGGCACTTAAGGCGCTGTCACACTAGCACTTTTTCCGTCAATTTTTCGACAATTTTCTGATTTTTTTCCATTTTTTTAGCGAATTGTCGATTTTCCAGTCAGACGATAATGATCGTTTCCGTCTGAAAACCTTTCCGTCAAATTTTTTTTTTTCAGCCAAACAAAGTCAAACCAAGAGCTATATTCAAGAATGTTTGTATTTATGTTAAATAAAATTGTCAAAAAAATTGACGAAAAAAGTGTTAATGTGATCGGGCACTTGCCACGTGTGTCGCCCGCCAAGACAAAGCCATTTTATCCAAAACTCATGACACCTTCTTGTGTCCGTCTGCGATTCGGATGGAATGATAATGATGATGATAATAATGATAATGATAATGGCAATGACAATGACAGTGATAATGTCAATGATAATGGCATGACAATGATAATGACAATGTTAATGAGAATGAGAATAATAATAATAATAAACACCTTGTGTCGGTCTGCGTTTCGGATGATAATGATGGTGATAATAACAATGATAATGATATTGACAATGACAATGATAATGACAATGATAAGGATAATGACAATGTTAATGAGAATGAGAATAATACTAATAGATGATAACTAATGATAATGATAATGACAATGAGATAATGAATGAGAATGAGAATGAGAATAATGATAATAATAATGAAAACAATAACATCGACGATGATAATATTAATAAAAATAATGTTAGCAATGATAACAATAATACATGATGATACTACGACAAAAACAAACTAATCCACTACTACTATTATTAATGATAACAATAATGATGATAACAATAATAACAATAATGATAATTATGATAATAATGATAATAATAGTGGTAGTAGTAATAATGATAATAATAATGATAATGACGGTAATAATAATTGCAATTTCGCGTTACATTTGGCTTACATGTGTGTCTTAGCTGTTTCCAATATTGACAATAGTTCAGTATCCCCTAATAATATGACAGAAAATGAATGGAGTGATCACCACATGACAGCTTGGGATGCAAAATTTTGTCAGTGAAATATTTGCCTTGACAGCAGTTTTCATGTGGATTAAAAGATGCAATAAGTTTCCTTTGAGAGAATGTAATGAAAAATAACTGGAAGTAAATAAATAAAAACAATAAATAAGTAAATAAATAAAAACAAGGATTGATTGATAAAGGAACAGATAATTTTTATATAGATATATATTGTCATAGTACACAGTACATATAAGAATTGAGAAAAATATTGAAAGAATAAAAGTAATAAAACGGTTATTCGTGTGTATACTTGAACATACAACCGTTTTGCAATAAAAAAGAAATTGAGAATATTTGAGGATTTTTTTTGCCATGAAACTAATTCTTTTATATCTAAAGTTTTTTTTCTATTCGTGATATACAATAATTTTTAAAATTCTTTTGATATACATTTTTTTTTTTTTTTTTTTTTTTTTTTGAGAAATATGTTTAACGGGAACATACTGTTTCAGCTAATTTCATGAACCTTAATTTTCATCGAAACTTCAGAATTTCCTCGGCTTCTGTGAGGATTTTCTCGTCGGCGCTGAAGCTCATTAACGACGTTCCTGTTAATGAAGTCCTCATGAATTTCAGTCTTTTTCATGAAACTCCGAAGCACTCCAAAGGAATCCAAAGCACGAAGGAATGCAGACAGAAGATCTTAAAAGAAAATTCAGAACCTTGACTTCAGCATTCACAAGAGCAAAAAAAAAAAAAAAAAAAAAAAAAAAAAAAAAAAAAAAAAAAAAAAAAATTCAGAACGCCGGAATTCAGAATTTAGAAGAAAAGAAAGAAGAATTCAAGACTCTAAAGCTCTTTTAAAAAAAAAAATGAATTCAAACCGCGAGGGCAGAACTCCCGCTTCAGAATTCAGATGAAAAAAAGGAATTCAGAATCTGACGAAATCTCGGAGACGCGCCAACCGCCTCCCGGACACGAGCGGAGTCCCGGATGAGAGCCGAGCGGAGGCTGATCGCTATCTCCCAGGGCCCCATCAACTCTCCCTCTCCCCCTCCCTCCCTCTCTCCCTCTCGCTCCTTCTCCCTCCTTCTCCTTCTCCGCTCCTTCTCCTCTCCCTCCCCTCCTCTCTCTCCCTCTCCCTCCTCTCGTCGCTCTCCCTCTTCTCCTTCTCGTCCTTCTCCCCCACCTCTCTCCCTCCTTCTTCCCTACCCTCCTTCCGTCCTTCTCCCCCACCCTCCTCCCCTCCTCTCTCACCCTCTCGCTCCTTCTCCCCCTTCCTCTCCCTCTCCTCTCTCTCCCTCCTCTCCCTCGCCCCTCTCCCCCTCACCCTCCCATTAAGTTAATTATGCAACATTCATGGCTTATCTGCGCCCGGGAGCTTCGGTCGGGTTTCTTGCCGTCTTGCTTGCTTGTGCTTGGTGGGGGTGGAGGGGGTGGGGGTGGGGGGGCATGGGCGGTGCTGGTGTTCTTGTTGTTGTTTGTGGCATAAGTATCTCCTCTAGTTTATTAATTTGCCTTTCTCTCTTTATTAGGTTAATGACGTGGATTATATTTCTGAGAAAGAGTTGGAAAAGAGGGAGAAGCACACTCACTCACAGAGAGAGAGGGTGAGAGTGAGTGAGAGAGAGAGAGAGAGGGAGAGAGGGAGAGAGGGAGAGAGGGAGAGAGAGGGAGAGAGGGAGAGAGGGAGAGAGGGAGAGAGAGAGAGAGAGAGAGAGAGAGAGAGAGAGAGAAGAGAGAGAGAGAGAGAGAGAGAGAGAGAGAGAGAGAGAGAGAGAGAGAGAGAGAGAGAGAGAGAGAAGAGAGAAGAGAGAGAGAGAGAGAGAGAGAGAGAGAGAGAGAGAGAGAGAGAGAGAGAGAGAGAGAGAGAGAGAGAGAGAGAGAGAGAGAGAGAGAGAGAGAGAGAGAGAGAGAGAGAGAGAGAGCGAGGGCAGCGTGTCAAGATCCGGTCAAGAACCTTGTCGGCGAAGAAGCAAAGCCAAGCGCTCGCCGCCACGTCCGAAGAAGCCATCTCATCGACATGGAAAAGCATCAGAAAAAAATAAAATCTAAATAACACACTGATAGGCCCTTTCATAAAAAAAAGTAAATGTCATTAAAATACACAATTACACATACATTTTTCGGCAGCTAATTTCCAGCCTCGTAGATTAGGATAGCGGCAAGACAGACACTCTACCTGCCTGCAAAGACCCAGGTTCGAATCCTGGCCGGAGAGAGTTAGTTATTTATTCATATTCTAGCTTTCTTTAGGATAGCGAGAGTGTGAGATATTCAGGTTAAGCTTCTCTGCACTGTTTAATGGTCTCTAATTCAGGTATCAAGAGTCCCACTATACTAAATGGCAGGGTCAGTGAAACACGGTCTTCGTTGTTTGCACCTTTACGGAAGAGCGTCACGACGTAAGTTAACTGCGTTAGGTGGTAGCTTGGGAGGTCATGCGTCGGTCAGCTTGCCAAGGGTGTCGTCGGGAGTCCGTGCGCGCGAGGGTTGGGTTCTGACCCCATGGGTGAGTGAGGAGTAAATTGAGAGCGAGGTCAATTATATCCCAGCCTTATATCCGACCCAGCTGCTTCGTGGCGTACACATGGGCGTATAACTCCGCCATGCGGTTTACACCACGTGAATATGGTATGCCATATTGATAGTGACCACCATATCGCTCTGCAATCTAGCATGCTGCATAGTCATAACAATACTGCATAGTCATGCAATTTCGCTGACCATGTGGCCGTGTTCACAGCATGTGGGGATATCCCACGTGTGTACCCACGTTCGCTGTCTGCCAGCACCTACCCAAGCCTGCCACGGGCATCCAGCGGGCCTATAAGAGGTCAGCAGAGGTTGACCCAGTCTCAAGCCCTCGGCGAGCCTGCCCTTAGCAGGGTAAGTCTCGCTCGCTCACACTCTCCTTAGACCGTACCGCGCGGACCTCACTACCTCCTATCCTGACCTTGCTGCTACCCTCCTCCCCGGCGCTGCCACTCCAGGGGCCAGGCCGGTGGGTCCCACTCAGCACCGCTAGTTACATCGCGTTCTTCGTCTCACATTATTATTATTATCATACGTGTCCTATATATTTCGTGTGTTCTTAAGAAATAAAAGTGGACAGCCACATCGGCGTTTCACTACTGCCCACCAGTTTTCAGTCAATCTACATAGGAAGTTTATCACCTTTTATACACTGTCTCAACCACTCACAAAACGAAAAAAAAGAATCCATAAAATAAACACATCTAAAAAAAATTAACAAGTATAGACGACCACAAAATCGATACTTTGATTACACACTACATATAAAACTGCTTGCAGAGGGGCTTGCACAGACCAATGCATTAAGGCTGCCCTTCACAAGACGGGCAGGAGAGCCAAGTGCAAAGATGAGCGACCCCTTCACTCGAGCACACTAAGTTGCCGAGAAGTCGTGAATATTAGGGAGAGAAAGAGAGAGAGAGAGTGTGAGATAGAGACAGATACTAAGAGAGAGAGAGAGACAGATACTAAGAAAGAGAGAGAGAGAGAATGCCATCTGATTCCCAAGGTGGAAGGCTGACTTCTCTCCTCTCTTCCTAGTGCAGACCCCCCACAGCGCCTGGTCTTCTATATTACGCACTCCGCTCTGTCTGTGTTTGGAGCACCCTGCTTGCGGATCTGGAAGAGACGAAAAGCAATCAAAACCAAACTTATATCTTCATTACCCAGAACATCAACGATAAATAAATTGAGAAAACCTAGCGACATAACAATCGGTAGGCCTATCCTCCATTTGATTGATTTAAAAATTGTCAGAAAGTATGCTGATAATTATCCTTCTTAAATAAGATATTGGTATTGGAGCACCTGCAATGCGTGTAGTAGTATCCGTATGAATATGTATATGTATGTATACATGTATGCGCATCCACGATATATATACATATATATAGTCTAGTGAGAAGCAGGAGGGATTGCAGGTGTTCTCCACTTGCCTAAGAGGGTACCATCCCAGTGCTCACTAAGGAGTTCACATCATAAACAAATCTATGTAATTTTTTTTGCTAAATTTTTTTTTTTTTCTTTCTTTTTTTGCTAAGTCGCCTATTTGTTTCCGTTTACTTGGTTGGGATGCCATAAACTTCTACTGTAACAAGAATTAGCAGAAATCTGTTCCTATTTTCAAGTAATATATATCTAAATATATCACATTTTTTTAACTGATTTTTAATCAGCAACTCTTTACCTTGTAACAAAATGGTTCATCATCATCATTAAGGAGCTAATGCCGAAGGGAGCGCATAGCCACATCCACCCTTCGTTTGTACCTACGAGGGTCCCTCACGGCAAGCCGCCAGGCAGGGACTCAGCCCATCTCAAGCTCCTCACGACAGGTTTGATCGATCTGCCCAAGCCACGACTTCCTAGGTCGTCCCACAGGCCTCCTCCACCCAGGGATGTTTCGAACAGAGACAACCTGGTGTGCAGGATCATCCTGGGGGAAGCGAGCCAGGTGGCCGTATAGCCTGAGTTGGCGATCACGGATTGTGCAGGAAATAGGTCCTGTGCCAGTCTCATGGTGCAACCGTTGGTTTGACACGTCGTCCCGCCAACAGTACCCCATGATCCGGTGCAAGGACTGATTGCAAAAAGCATCAAAGATGTGACTCCTAGGCACAGGATAATCTCCAGGTTTCACTACCGTATAGCAAAACTGGCATTATCAGGGCCTTGACAACACGTGGCTTGGTCCTTCTGCACAGGTAACGGCATCTATAAATACTCTTGTCGAGAGAGTTCATGACCCCTGCTGCCAAGCCAATCCATCTGCTGACTTCCTGGTCTGACAGCCCAGAGTTATGAACTACACTACCAAGGCATGTAAAGCTCTCTGTGACTTCAATGTCCTCACCACAAGCACGTACTAACCAAATAGGTTCTCCTAGTAAGTCCCCAAAGTCCTGGATCTTGGTCTTGATTCAGGAGACCTCTAGATCCAAGGGCTTTGCTTCATTACTAAATGTATCGAGAGCCACCACTAAGGATTCCAAGGACTCAGAATAGCAACATCATCAGCAAAGTCTAGGTCGGTAACCTTGATATTGCCCAGAGTTGCCCCACAATGACTTTGAACACTAGCGCTGCCCAATATCCAGTCCATGCAAGTGTTGATTAGTGTTGGGGCAAGGACACAGCCTTGCCTCACTCCTGAACTAACAGGAAAGAAGCTCGACAGGCCCCCACCACACTTTACAGCACTTTCAGTATCAGTATACAGACTTGCTATTAGTCCAATAATCCTTGTTGGAATTCCTCTCAGTGTCAGGATCTCCCAGAGTGATTCCCGATGCACTGTATTGAACGCCTTCTTAAGGTCGATGTAGGCCGCAAGCAGCCCATGCCAAACTCATGATGGCGCTCTACAATGAATCAAAGCACAAGGATACAGTCTATTGTGGACTTACCAGGAGTGAATCCAGATTGCTCTGGCCTCTGGTGCCTCAGTAGGTGGTCTCTGATACGTCTCAGAAGGATGTGGGCGAGAACCTTGCCTGGTATACTGAGCAGTGTGATGCCTCGGTAATTGCTGCAGTCCTATCAACCCCCTTTCCCGTTCCAGAGAGGGATGACCACACCCCTCAACAGGTCAGGGGAATGGTACTAGGCTGCTAGATGGCAACCATGCAACCATAGGTTCACTGCATCCAAGTTAACTATTGGTGGGTCAACCCGGTACAGCTGCTCAAAATACTTAGCTCAATGCTCCCGCACCACAACAGGATCTGAGACGATTTGGCCACTTACTAAGCAAACCGCTGTCACCTGAGAAGAGGACTTGGAGTTCAGCTTTCTCAGGACTTGGTCTGCAGGACGAAGGTCATTTACTAAGAAATGGCCTTCTACCTCCTCTGCAAGACTCCTAATAAACTGTTCCTTGTCCATCCTTAACAGTACCAGAGTTATGTGCACCTGAGAACGGTGCAAATCCCGATCGAGGGCATATAAACAAACTCCTCGAACATTCAAGCAGGAAGGGCGCATACCTTGTAGGTGAAGGAGCCGTTGATGCAGAGGAGGAAGAGCATGACGAAGACCTGGACGAGGGTGAGGCCGAGACCCAAGTAGGTGAAGAGATTCTCCTGTTCGTCGCTGCGTCGGTCCAAGAAGCTGTGGTAGTAGCGGGACTTCTGCGCCAGCCAGCGACTCAGGAAGAACACGTTGATGATGATGACGGCGATGGGTTTGAGTAGCCACGTCCAGGTCACTAGGGGTTTGCGCTGTGGGGTAAGGAAGGGCAGAGGGGTCTGGATGATAGGGTTTGGCTGTTTTCTATTAATCTATTTATTTATTTACTATATTGCGGGTGTCTTGTTTGTTTGTTTTTCTAGTGTTGGGAAGCCTTTAATGATTTTTCTTCTCTCTCTCTTGTGCAAAAATTGTACTCTGATATCACTGCATTTTACATCTGTACTGTAAATTTTAACAATCTTCGAATCAAATCAAGTGAAGGACCAAAAAACAAAATGCCAGAGATGTCCACAAACATATCAAAGTCATAAAAAAGAAAACAACCAACATTAAACACCTAAAATAAAAAAAAAAAAAAAAAAAAAAGATATCCACAAACGCATAAAAATCCTATCCACCTTGCATTAAATACCTAAAATAAAAGAAAAAATTAAGATAATCACAAACGTACTAAAAAAAAAAAAAAAAAAATCCCGCCCACGCACATTATATACCTAAAATAAAAGGAAAAAATTATATATATGCCCACCTTGCAGAGTCCGATGATGAGGATGGTGGAGAAGAAGAGGCAGCCGACGCCCTCAGCGATGCCGATGTTCACGCGCACGCTGTGGTCTGCGGGAGGGGGGGGGGAGTAGGTGACAAGGTGGCTTGTCGAGTATCAGCTATTTTGACAATAAATATATTTGTGTATTTACACAGTTATTTTTTGTATATATGATCCTATATGCATCTTTCTGATCATCTGTCTCTCTATTATTGGCAAGACACCTTCTGGTGGGAGCATGGATAGTGAATTGAGTCAGGTGCTCATAGCTAACCATAGGACATATAGTCCTGTGAACTGTACCTCATAATACAACCTAAGAGATCTTTTATTGGGTATCAAGGCGTGACACCAATGTATTGGTTCCGTTACCACATAGCAATAATTGCAAAATGATGACCTTCAAGTTATGTGTATTGTTCCTTCTGAACAATATCTGAATCTCCAACTACTTTTTTCAAGAATTCATGACTTGCCGCCTCACCAATGCATCTGCAGACTTCCTGGTCTAACAACCCAGAGTTATGAATTACATAATAGAGATACGTGACTACCTGAGTCCCTCGCCAAAAGTACATATCAACTGAACACTTCCTCCGGCAATCCCTCACCAATGGCACAAGGACTCTTCTTTGCCTAACTCAAGAATCCACAAGAAAGAGGCTATGCATGTTCATTCCCCACTTTACAACACTACCAGGACTTGTGCAAAACACTGCTATTCATCCCACAGACTAGTGGGGTCCCAGGAATTCCTAGAGTGATTTATGACGCAAACTGACAGGGAAATGGACTCTGAAATCATTCTATTCCCCAGAGCCATCCACTGAGCCCAGAGTACGGACAGCAGTTGGTAAGAAGCCACAGTATGTCTCCACGCCCTAGTGGGCCGTGGCTGCCCAGCTTCGAGGCGTCATGCCATTCCTCTACAGTAAGTGAAATGGCATGCAAATACTAAACACTAAGCCAATGCACACATGTGTGCATACTCGCATGCTTGAATTTGCGTGTATGTATATGTGTATGTATATGCAGGAACATATATAACTAAAGCAACAGAAAGTGACAGACGAGGAAGTCGCCGCTTACCTGACATGTAGAGGTAGTGCTGGCACCAGCGGAGGCCATGGGCCCAGTGGCACCTATAATGGATGCTGAATTGATACCCATAGAAGGCGCAGGTGGCGACCCCGTGCAGCTGGGAAGGAAAGTTGCACTGTTACAGTTTTCTTAAGTATGATTTACATAGATCTCTGCAAATAATTATCCACTATATGTGGATAATTATTTATCACATGTGTTTTAATGACACCCTGTTATGGCCACAGGACCGGACTAAAGAAAACAGGGCGCCCACACAAAAGTGTTCCTGAACACGTTGTAATCAGACCTCGGGTATTGTTCACACTTTACTTCAGAAAGATAATTAGGCTAAGAACTCCACTGAACCAAAACCGACCCTTATGGCTAAGGAAAAGGAGAACTGAAAGAGAAATAAACTTTAGGGAGCTTTCTGCAGCTGTTACTCCTGGCTTGTGTGACCTTTCTACCAAAAGTATTTTTTTCAACGGAGGTTTTCTCTCTTTCTCCCACTGCAAGTATTGTAAGCATCATTGCCAGCATCATAAATTATTTTACATCACCGTTATGATTGTCATCGATGAAATTACCATTGCTTTTATTATGGTTATCATTTCCAGCATTATGATTACCAATGTTATCATTATAATCATCATTGCTGATATCTTTATTATAATTTTCATTATCATAATTATATTGGTCACTATTACGGTTATTATCATTATTAGTACTTCAGCCATCATTATTGATTTATTATAATCATGAATGTTATTTTAGGCATTTCTTCTTTATCATTTTAGTAACATAAATATACAAAATGATTCATAATAAATCTTTTAAACTTTAAAGATAAAAAATTTCCTCGTTACCATTTTCGTTACAGTCGTTCTCAGCAAAAAATATTTATATCAATCTTATCATATCAATCATCATAATATAAACTAAAATTTTAAACGAAACAATTACTAGATCATCCTTGTCTGTACCATATTCATCCAGTATAATCATCATTGGTGTTTTATCAACCATTGCCATAACCATACTCATCTTTGCCTTTACTGTTATCATCCAGTCTAGTCATCAATATCGCCATCATCGTCATCGTCATAACTACCATTACTAATATAATCTTTGTACTGTTATCACCCAAAATGATAACCATCATCGACGTTATAACAGCCATTGCTATAACTATACCCATCCTTGTCTGTTCTGTATTTATCCGGTAAAGTCATCAATATCGGCCTTATAACTAACCGCTAATATAATCAATCTTAGTACTGTTATCATCCACTATAACAGCCATCACCGGCTTTATAACTACCATTGCCCGTCTCATAAGTGCCATTACCACGACCGTCCCCGTCTGCCTCACGACGGCCACTCACCAGGTCGACGACGGCGAGCAGGAGGCCGAAGTTGATGATATTCCTCAGCGAACAAGCCATGGCGGGGGAACTCGACCGCGCTGGACCTCACGCCGACACGCACGCCCTGGAGGGAGGCAGAAAGGGTTCAGTTCCAAGGTCTCTCTCTCTCTCTCTCTCTCTCTCTCTCTCTCTCTCTCTCTCTCTCTCTCTCTCTCTCTCTCTCTCTCTCTCTCTCTCTCTCTCTCTCTCTCTCTCTCTCTCTCTCTCTCTCTCTCTCTCTCTCGCTTTCTCTTATATAGAACTTGCTCAGTTCTATGGGTGAGTTTGGGTAAGATGTAGTATGGACTGAGAGATGTATAGAGAGACTTGGGGAATATGTGAAGGTGTGTATGGACAGATATATGGGTTTAGGTTTTGTTAGTAGGGGGTAAAGAAACGTGATTTTCTTTAAGAAAATGGGATCTGAAGGAGATGATGGAAACGGGTAGAATTTGTTAAAATACATTTTAAGAATTTGTTTCTGAAGTGTATTTTTACTACTAGGCTAAATACTAAATGAACGTATGGTGTTCAGGATACACAGTAGACGGAGTACCACCATACATTCCAGCTATAACACAGCAGTGGATCTGTCAAACCCCCGATTTTTTTTTTCAATTTTTCATATAAAATTTAAAAGTAAATTAAGTGAAAGTAAATGACATACACAGTCGCTCTATTGTTTACATAATTAAAATGAAACAAATATTAGTTGCGGTCGCATGGTTTACTCAGGGTTCGAACCGTGACATCCCCCTTCTAAAGGATGTGGCTGACTGCGTTTCCGTTTCTTGCGCGTCTGTTGTTCATGACACAACCAAAATACGATGCATGGCACTTTGGCTGAAGCTCGAAGACAAAGACCTACGCTGTTGTGATTTTTCCAGAGCAACAACGACACGAGATCATAATTAATAATGTTTTAAGTGCTCGTGGTGTGTTCGCAAGCATCGGCAAGGAACAACCGATTGGAAGCACTTCGGACACACAGCACGAGTTCCTGCATCGGCTACAAGAGCTGACAGTATACAGTGTGTACTATGTTTATAGAATGAGAGATGAATAGACAGACCGAAAGAGAGAGGATGGGGAAAGGCGAAAATAAGACCCATTTATCAATCTCCATTTATTCACTTATTAATGACTTTTCTTGCGAACAAAGAATCTCCTATCTCTAGTTCACAAAAACCTAAAACGTTTATACAAAAAGTTCATTTCCTGTGTCGACTTGTAATCTGGGGAATGTTTGTTCTCAACAACATAAATCCCAATATTACCAAGGGCCGTTTGAGAAAGAGAAAGAAAGACGAAGAGAGAAAGAGAGAGAGGAGAGGGAGACAGAAAGAGAGAGTGAGAGATAGAAAGAGAGAGGAGAGGGAGACAGAAAGAGAGAGAGGAGAGGAAGACAGAAAGAGAGAGTGAGAGGAAGAAAGAGAGAGAGGGAGAGGGAGACAGAAAGAGAGAGTGAGAGAGAGGAGAGGAGACAGAAAAGAGAGAGTGAGAGAGAGGAGAGGGAGACAGAAAGAGAGAGTGAGAGAGAGGAGAGGGAGACAGAAAGAGAGAGTGAGAGAAAGAAAGAGAGAGAGTAGAGGGAGACAGAAAGAGAGAGTGAGAGAAGAAAGAGAGAGAGACAGAAAGAGAGAGTGAGAGAAAGAAAGAGAGAGGAGAGGGACACAGAAAGAGAGAGTGAGAGAAAGAAAGAGAGAGAGAAGAAAGGAGACAGAAAGAAAAGAGGAGAGGAGACAGAAAGAGACAGAGAGAGGAAGAGAAAGAAAGAGAGACAGAGATGGAGAGATACACAGACAGAGCACAGAGACAAGAGACAGAAAGAGAGAAAAGACAAATAAAAGTAGGAAAAAAAAGTCGAGAGAGCAAATGAGAACGAAGGCATCGGGGACACCCACTAAAAAGTCTCTTATGAACGGCCGTCTCGATGCAGCGTTGTTTTGGTCGATCCTCTGGCGCAGACCGAAGTCCTTAGAGAAAACAGCTTCGTATTTATCGAACAGATAATGGACGGATATAGCTGCAGCTGAGAACGGGAGGCCACATACTGGTATAGAAGATGGACAGTGTTAACATCTACCGCGGCAAGTATTAAAAAAAAAAAAAAAAAAAAAAAAAAAAAAAATCATTTTCTATCCTTGAAGAATCTTGCATCAAGAAAACGCATCAAGAATTATGGTATTCAGAAGTAGGCATCAAGAAATGATAGTTTATGATTGTGAGATTTAATAGGCTTTTCTCTGGTCTTGTTAAGTTCTGAATCTTTGCCGTTTGCTCTAAATCTAATTTATCATCGCATGTATCCTTTCTATATTCCATTTCCCTATTACAAGTACTTGCAGATATGACCACTTCCTATCTGGGACTTTAATCTATGAAATAGTAGGGTGATCGAGAGGAGAACGATTTGACACCAAAATCTATTCGAATGCATTGGTCATCCCCTAAAACACTGGTTCACGAACTCTTCATAGTAATAGCACCCTAGACTCAGATAGTCCTCTCTGTAGCCCCTTTTTTAACCCCCCCCAACCCCCCATCTCGTACGAATTCATGTTTATAGCTTATTCCACGAATTCCTAGAACTACTCCAAACACGATAAACACAGGCTAACTACTCAGATGATAAACGTATACTTAACAGAAGAATGATAACGACGGGAAATTCAGAAACGAAATGGATTTTACTATATAATTTTTTATGGCAAACAGAACCACTGCCTTAAAAAAAAAAAAAAAAAAAAAAAAACGTGTCGGACAGACAGCAGAAAGGAACTGTTAATTACGTCGGTCGTTTTACTGCCTCCTTATACAGTGACGGTCTTTATAGTAAATGTTTTCATTTAGAGTAATTGAAGAAAGCTATCATATTTCATTATTACAGTGCCTTTGCCTACCAGTAATGCCGACATAGGTTGATTGGAATAGTCAAGAAAACAGTTCACTATTTGCTTAATTCCCTTCCAATTCACCCTTTCAATTTTATTATAAAAAAAAAAATCAGTCATTCTCCCTCGTCGATGTAAAAAAAAAAAAAAAAAAAAAAAAAAAAAAAAAAAGTAAAGTAAACAAAATGAGATAAAACAAACCGATTAAAAAACAATATATACTGTACTACTAGAGAAAGGAACTAACTTACGATAAGTATATTAACTTCTTAAGGATTGTTAAGTACTATTAACGTATTTCTGATGGCCTTTACACCCGGTATATTACAAATTAAAGTAGTTTTGACCAAAGGGCTTTCTACCTAGGCACTTACTTGCAATACCGTCTTTAACTGGACTTAAATAATAATATCATAATAAGACTCACCTCCGCAAGAGAACAATAACCCACCTTCTCTTACGCAGTGGATTCCAAGCACCTTTTTTCCGGGCGTGACAAAGTGCCAAGTCCCTGACAGCCAGTGATGCGAGCGTCCACCACGATGCCAAGCAGGGGAGAGAGAGGAGGCACGCTGCAACAGCCAAACCACCCATAAACGCCCGTTGTTGCCAGTCATCGATTATTTCTAATTCTGTAGTTCGACTATTAGAACTTCCGTGCAGCTAGGTTTCTAGTTATGACGATTTTTTTTTTTTTTTTTTTTTTTTTAATCAGTGTTTTTCAACGTTTCGATAATTCTCATCGATGTACTTTTCTCTGTTCATAGTCTAAGCTGCTGACGCTTAATGTGCATGACATATTATCTTACTATTTTACACTATAGTGTTGTCATTAGTAAAGAAAGAAATAAACCATATATATATTGCAATTGCAAAGAGTGAGAATTTTGCATTTCCTTCTATATTCCTGTTTTTTCTTCTTTCTTTCCTTCTTTTATTTTATTTTATTTCCTCTTCTTCTCTCCCTCACGTCACTCATTTGGCTCAGTCTCTCGTATAGGCTCCTTGGTTTCTCTCAAAAACTCTGTTCCTTCTCTATCGTTCTGTAGGCCAGTGTGACCCAAAATTCTTTGCCTTTTGTACCCTTTATTACCTTTTTGTACTGTTACGTACCCCCCCCCTCCACCATGGCTAAACAAAGTTTTATTTAGGATAATGCAAATATACTAATTACTAAAAGAATGCATTGCAGGAGTGTTGGTCAATAAATTCGAATTTAATACACGAATAAAAAAGATAATTTAATGACAAAATGCTTGAAATATACTTACACAACTTACTGTGGGATGTGAGGCGTGTGTGTTCCTTGTTTGTTCACGTACCCCTATGTTCTACGTTGCGTGGACCCCAGTTTGGAGAACACTGCTGTAGGTCAATGTTTTTTTCCCTGCGTACGTGTTTTTCTCCTTCTGCTATTGTGTCTGTATTCGTCAAATCTCACTCATTCCTTCTATCTCTCTTCGTCTGCCTGCCTCCCCTCCTCTCTCATTCTCATTCTCTCTCTCCCCTCTCTCCCTCCCTCCTCTCTGTCTCTCTCTCTCTCTCTCTCTCTCTCTCTCTCTCTCTCTCTCTCTCTCTCTCTCTCTCTCTCTCTCTCTCTCTCTTCTCTCTCTCTCTCTTCTCTTCTCTTCTCTCTTCTCTTCTCTTCTCTCTCTCTCTCTCTTCTCTCTCTCCTCTCTCTCTCTCTCTCTCTCTCTCTTCTCTCTTCTCTCTCTCTCTCTCTTCTCTCTCTCTCTTCTCTCTTCTCTCTCTTCTCTCTTCTCTCTTCTCTTCTTCTCTCTTCTCTCTCTCTCTCTCTCCTCTCTCTCTCTCTCTCTCTTCTCTCCTCTCTCTCAAAACACTATGCCCCTCAATCTTTCGGCGAGCTTAACTTGTCTAAAGAAATTACTCTATTAGAAATTTCATCGACAGATAATGTAGACAATCAAGTAACTATTCTCACGGAAGTTGTTAAAAGAGGCAAAGATGCGCTGACTCCCAACACAACACGACCCGTCAGACGCCCCTCCGCTCCGTGGAGAAATGACATCAAGAGAGCCATTAGCGAGAGAACTAATGCCCACGAAGCTCTTAATAGTAGCAGACACGAAGCCGCCTTCCATGCAGATTATAAAGTAAAAATGAAAAATGGAAGATTGATAATTCAGTGTACAAATAGATATTATGTCAGAAATGAATTCACAGAATATAAGAACTCTAATAAAACGTGAAAAATTGTTAAAACACTAGTGCCTTACAACAAACACCACACAAGTGACTGTACAAATCAAATAGACAGCATTTTAATGACTTCTTTTCAAAAATTGGAAAACTAACTTATGAACAAACAACTGCTTCTATATTACAACAAAGCACAGATCGGGCAAGGCTCACAACTATTCTTTTCAGACTACACTCAGTGGACGTAGAAACAATCTCAGAAATAAAACACCTTCACGAAACAAATGCTGTAGAAGCAGACGGCATTGCTTTGCGCTTTATCAGAGAGAGTCTACCCGCAACTGCACACTAATTGACGGTCATTATTAACACCTCTCTGGTCACTGATGTCTTTCCGTCGCTTTGGAAACACCAATTTTCAAGGCGGGGGATATAGACGATGTGAATAATTATCGCCCTATTACTATACTCCATATATTGTCCAAAATTCTTGAAATAAAATGTGTCAGATCAGCTGACGAGTTTCCTGGAGGCCGATAACGCAACGTGGTTTTAGAAATACGTTATCTACTGAAATAGCTTTATTACAAATTACTGATGATATTTATAATAACAGACAAAATCAGGTAAAGTTGCTCACATTGTGCGACCTTTCTAAAGCCATGAAATTCTCCTTAATATATTAATAAATCATAAAAAAGATACCTTTAGGTTTAAAAGCTTTTTAGATACAAGGACCAAATCGGTAAGAATCAATGATATATCAAAACAAAATGTATCTTTTGGTGTTCCGTAAGGATCTATTTTGGGTCCAATCCTATTTACAATTTTCATAAATGATTTCTCAACCATAGCGCATAACTCCCTTTTAGTGCAGTACGCCGATGACTCACAGTTTCTTCATAGTGACTCAGTAAGCAACTTAAATACATTAATAAGAAACACACAACATACTCTTACCCAAGAAAAATTATATTTTGACACTAATGGCCTTAAACTAAATCCACATAAAATTCAATGTTTATTCATAGGTAGTCGGCAGAACATAGCTAAAATTCCCAATGACACAATCGTAGAATTTGAAGGCTGCTCGATCACAAACTGAACACTTTAGTGAAATATCTAGTACACTTAGAGAGATTAAAGGCATTTGATACAATACACAGGAAAGTAGTGGGCACCCTGGTATATCTTAATCACATAAGAAATCAAATCGCTGTTGAAAATAGAATCATCGTTGTGCATATTGAGCTATAAGCTTATTGAACTTTTGTTCAAATATTTGGGGTTCGACTGATAAAATTCATATGCAAAGAGTACTAAAATTACAAAATTTTGCTGCAAGTTTTGCATTAGCTAATATAAGTAAACAATCACATCACCCCGCATATCCAAAAATTAAGTCCCTAAATAGATATAATACATGTGTTTTCATTTACAAGCTGATTCATGGGAATTATCCGCAATGGTTAATGCCCTTGCAAACTGTAGAGAACACATCAGGTGTCCAGTCACGTTAATTAAATTCTCTTTATGTTAAGAGATCGAGTACTGATACAGGGGCACGACAAAAGGAAATACGTGTACCTAAGTTATGGAACATGCTACCAGATAATATAAGAGACATTAACAGCTAATTTCAGAATGAAATAAAAGAACACCTTTAAATAATTGACTGTAAATATAGATGTATTTATGTAAAACCACTGTAATTAATGGAATAAAGTTTTTTGACTTTCTCTCCCTCCTCTTTCTCTCTCTCTCTCTCTCTCTCTCCTCTCTCTCTCTCTCTCTCTCTAACTCTCTCTCTCTCTCTAACTCTCTCTCTCTCTCTCTAACTCTCTCTCTCTCTCTCTCTCTCTCTCTCTTCCTTCTCTTCTCTTCTCTTCTCTTCTCTCTCTTCTCTTCTCTTCTCTCTCTCTTCTCTTCTCTTCTTCTCTCTCTTCTCTTCCTCCTCTCCTCTCCTCTCCTCTCCTCTCCCTCTCCTCTCTCTATCTCTCTCTCTCTCTCTCTCTTTCTCTCTCTCTTCTCTTCTTTTCTCTTCTCTTTCTTCTCTTCTCTTCTCTTCTTTTCTCTCCTCTCCTCTCCTTTTTCTCCTCTCCTTTCCTCTCTCTCTCTCTCTCTCTCTTTTCTCACCATTCACTTATATTGTCTAATTGTCTTACGTATTTTTTCACCAATGTCTCTCATACACGAGAAATATCAAGCCCGAAACTCTCCTCTGCTAGCAAGACGAGCAAGCCCATTCAAGCCAACTTGCCTTCTCGGAGCGATCGCTAAGAGGTGCAGGTGGAGGGCGTCGCTGCCACGAGGAGCTCGGCAGATTACGTAACCTCTGTATTGGGGGAGAGAGAGAGAGAGAGAGAGAGAGAGAGAGAGAGAGAGAGAGGAGAGAGGAGAGGAGAGAGGAGAGAGAGAAGAAGTTATATGATATCTTTATGTGTTTGCGTGTGCGTAGTATGTATATATATATATATATATATATATATATATATATATATATATATATATAATATATATATATATATATATATAATATATATATATATATATTATATATATATATATATATATACTATATATATATATATATATATATATTATATATATATATATATATATAATATATATATATATATATATATAATATATATATATATATATATATATATATATATATGTATATAAATATATATGTGGAATTCATGTTGAACAGATTGCAACAGGAACGACGAAGGGAAGGGCAAGGAAATACACGAATATGCCGTAGGCCTTTTCACTATTGCTTCGTCAGGGCATATGCCCTGACGAAGCAATAGTGAAAAGCCTTCGGCATATTCGTGTGTTTTCTTGCCCTTCCCTTCGTCGTTCCTGTTGCATAAATACACACACCACACACACACACACACACACCACATATACATATATATATATATATATATATATATATATATATATATATATATATATTAAATATATATATATATATATATACATATATATACAGATATACATATATATATATATATATATATATATATATATATATATATAATATATATATATATATACAGATATATATATATATATATATATATATATATATATATATATAATATATATATATAGAGAGAGAGAGAGAGAGAGAGAGAGAGAGGGGGGGGAGGGGAGGGAGAGTGCGTGAGTGAGAGGGAAGGAAGAGAAAGGAAAGAAGGGGAGAAGAGAGAGAGAGAGAGAGAGAGAGAAAAAGAGAGAGAAAAGAGAGAGAGAGAGAGAGAAGAAAGAGAAAGAAGAAAAAGGGAGAGAGAGAGAGAGAAAGAGAAAAAAAGAGAGAGAGAAAGAGAAAAAGGGAAGAGAGGAGAGAGAGAAAGAAGAAAAAAAGGGAAAGAGAGAGAAAAAGGGAGAGAGAAAGAGAAAGGAGAGAGAGAAAGAAAAGAAAAAGGGAGAAGAGGAGAGAAAGAGAGAAATACCCAAATCTCGGTCAAGGAACTCCGCGCTGAAGAGGCGTCGGTGAAGAGCCCGACGCAAATCCCGAGACGAAAACGACGCAATTAGGCCTGCGTGGCGAGCGGTCTCTTCTGCGCCGAGGAGGAGGAGG